CCAAACAGAAACAGGATACCCAGCCAACTAGGACATGGAAACGAATATAAAATAGGCGATATTTAGGTAAAAACATAAATGAGATAAGGGCGTTTACCTGCGAACACCTTGTAGAGGAGCGTTCCAGAGAGAGTGTTGCCAAGCAAGGGCTCACTTGCTGCCTGAGTCACATAGAAGCCAATACAATGGCACCGGCTTTTGAGAAAAGAGTATTATTTCGAGGTTTACCAGTAAGGAGACAGGAGGCAAGCCTCTCAAATCTGTTTCCTGATTCAAGGTTAGGGGTGATACTTAAGGGGTTAAGGAAATTTCAGTTCCTTTGTCCTTCTCCCATCTTTGGAATGTATGTTCTGCTTGCCTGCCCCAAGCTAGATGCTACTGCAAGGACACAGCCTTGAGACAGTAAGCTGTTGCTGAGAACATCTGGATGTATACATGACTGAGCCCAGTTAAGGCTTCTATATAACTTTTAAAGTTTAGGTGAGCAGTTGTGGAAATCTATTCACCTTCCAGCTACCCAAGAACATACCACCTAAATAAGTTCCCTTGCGTATCAAAACTAGCACCCACCAATCTGGAGAGTTCTGCCTTTCTTTGGTCTCTCCTTGCCTTCCATGTACAAGGGACAGTTTGCAAACCAACAGGTTGTTTCCCATTTGGGGTTATAATGATCTATGCTTCCAATGAGTATTCTTCCGTATTGGAGGAGATGTTTCTCATGTTGGAGATGTGCAAGGGTTTCTTCGTATATAGTTGGAAGTGGAATTGCTAGGGCTTAAGTACGTGTCTCTTCAAATATACAGCTGACTCCTTGAACAGCACAGGTTTGAATTGGCTGGCGCCACTTATACATGGATGTTTCAATAATATACAGTCAGCCCTCTGTATTTGAGGATTTTGCATCTACTGATTCAGCCAACCACACATGAAAATTTGCATATGGCGTTGGTTGAATCCATGAATGCAAAACCCATGGAAATGGAGGGCCAACTGTATTCATTGCACTGCACCATTTTATGAAAGGGACTTGAGCATCTGCAGATTTTGGCTTATTAGGGGCTCCTGGAACCAATCCCCTCTGATTCTAAAGAACAGCTACACTAAATAATGCCAAACTGTTTCCAATATTATTGTAGCAACACACACACTTTCCAGCGGTGTGTAAGAGCTAACATTGCTCCATGTCCTGCCAACACTTGGTATTGTCAGCCCTTTTAATTTCTGCCACTCTAGTAAGTGGCTAATGGTATCTCATTAATTTTTTTCTGTTTACTACTAAAGTTGAGCACAATGCATGTCAGTTTGTGTAATGTTTCATATAGGTAGAAATTCTTAACATATACTCCCATATGATAAGTATAAGCATTTTTTTACCTAAAAATATATACATCTTTTACTTTTCATTTATCATTTTCAGTATAATTTCAATTTGTTTGCCAGTATCAATGTTACTATTACTTCAAAATAGAAATTAAATATTGAAATTCAAAATTATTTTAATGCACATATATATTCAAAACAAACACATAAGATTCACACACAACTTCTAATCTGTTCACCAGCCAAGCCTTTTTCTGGATAAATATGCTAGAATTTCTCTTTCTAATACAGTAGCCACCCATCCATACATG